TGTTCCTTCTCTCAAAAGGTTTGGTCATGTCTCCTTGATCATTTGAAGGTGGATAGATTCATACTAAGCTGAGCCAATTTATTTCTTCGCTGTCCTAAATGGAATAAAGCAGATTTGTCTGTAATTCCTTCATTCTTACCTGGTTCTTATGGATGTCTAAGAATCAAGCCAAATATAAGGATAAACAACCATTGGTAAATCGCGTGGTCACAAACTGCATCTCTTACATTCATAAACTAATATAACATTATAACTTCCCCAATATTTGTTTGAACTGGGTACCTACTTAAAAAGATAAACTGATAACCCCTCCCTCTCTAATTTTTTGGGCTCCTCCTTCTTCTAATTGGTTAAAGGCGATGGAAACTTTTCCAATGATGATGGTGGTTTTGGTGGAGTGTTCAGGAACTCTAATGGGATGTGACCTCTACATTTCTAATCTCCAACTATGGTTTTTGATACATTAGAAGGTAAAGTGATTGCCATCTAATGGGCTATCTACATTGCTCATAGATGTAAGGTAGTTTACCATTTGGTAGAATCAGATTCCCTTGCATGTATCAGGATTTTGAAGAATATTGAAGCACCTCCTTGGTACATCCAAAAATGGAAGAGCAAGATCTTACCTTATTTACAATCTATTTCAATAGTATTCACTCACATCCCAAGAGAAGGAAATGGACCAGCTCATTGGTTAGCTGCTTTGGGTAGAAATTCTGAGTTGTGTGCTGTAGGAAATCCACCCCCCCTCCGTTATCTTTTTTGCTCCATGGGGATAATTTATCACTTCCCCATCTTAAGATCATGTAGTTGTAATGTCCTTTTGGTTTAATATATACTGCCGAAGAGGTATATATATATATATATATATGTATATATAACCCTCCATTATCTTTTTTGCTCCATGGGGATAATTTATCACTTCCCCATCTTAAGATCATGTAGTTGTAATTTCCTTTTGGTTTAATATATACTGCCGAAGAGGTATATATATATATATATATATGTATATATAACCCTCCATTATCTTTTTTGCTCCATGGGGATAATTTATCACTTCCCCATCTTAAGATCAGATGAACATCATTAGTGTAAATAATATCATAAGCATTTTTTGAATTAAACTTGATAAAAAGTAGGAGCCCAAGGAAAGAAAAAGTCCAAAAAAAAAGGCAAATTCAAGAAATTAATTAAATAGCCAGCTACACGTGCAATATTCATAATTAAAACATATTTTAATTTCAGCATATGGCCATCCTTATAATTAAGCACCACATGACTATCTTGGGGACAGACAGACATGAATTAGAAAGCTACTTTTATCTATACCAGATGAACCTTTGCCCCCCACCAAAAAAAGTTCTATTTTTCTAATATATATATGTACATATGTTGTCAGTCGTGACCTGTTCGTAGAGCAATATGTTTGAAGGTCGTGAGTCCCCTCAGATCATGAGTTCGAATCCCTTTCTGGCTAGCTTGCCGGTAGTGAGAACCATCCTCGAACAGTTATGCACATGAGGGTGGCCGGGAGCTCATATAATAGCCAAGAGGCAATTTTTTGATATATATATATATATATATATAATATTAAATCAAATATCTTTTTCCCACATTCGGTGATTGACAGTCCTGAGGAGAAGTGCCCGTGCTTCTACAACCTGACTAGCCCAACATTTTTATATTGGTGGTTGTCTAGTGCGCCTAGGGTGTTAGAAGGCTCCCCATCCCAGACGGTGTGCAAGTCCTTTTGTTTGGAGCTTTTCCAACTTTATAGCTGAACCTCCCCTTTTCTTCTTTCCTGAGGCATCCTCGCCACTTCAGCAGTTATAAGTCTCACCTTTTAAAGCTCTAGCTTATAAACATAGGATAGAGTTTCCTTCCTTTGACTTTAAGGCTACTGAGATCCCCTGTGGATGACACAATTCACAGATTGTTGACCGAGGATCTCAGGACGTGTTGGGTCAACTACCTTCTTAACCTGGTAGACTTAGGGTCTTAGTGGCTATGTATGACGAATCTAAGGTACTCCGACCCAACAACCTCTACCTTCTAGAATCACTCTACCTTCTTTTTGTTGAGCCCCTTTGAGCCCTATCTCTCCTTGACTTCTTCAATATTATCTTGATGGTCCGATGCTGATGAGTTGCTGCCCATTTGGGATATGATAATTTGTCCTCTGTCTTATGGCCCATATGTGCTTTGACCCATTGGGATATCCCTGTCAAGATGATTACGGTTATTTCGTGGGCTCCGTATGCCAATGAGACACTACCCATTTGGGATGTGAGAGACTTACTCTATGCTCGATGAATTAGCGAGAGCTTTGAAGCATCGCGGTGTTCCTACACGAAATAAACTTCCTTTGAGTACCAATTTCCCCTGATTAATGACAATATAAGAGAAACCCTTTTTATCGAGGGTATTCTCGGGTACCCTCCAAGATGTAATTAATCAAGTGAGATACGTCCACATGGGAGTGCTCTTGACCCCAAAACAGACACCTACACCTGAATCTCTAGTTATGTGTAGTCTACGTAGGCATTCTTTCGTGGATATCGGTCCAAGGTTCCTCCCCCTAATCTTGTTTGGGCGGACATGCTTGACCTGTCCTTGCGAGGTTTGCTGTAAGTAGACTATCCACTTTTTACATTTTTTCTTATCTATCGTCATTGTCGTATGTCCGTATTTTCTGGTTATTCTCTTCTCCTGGTCATTTACATGACTAGGGAGAGAGATTTATTTGTGAAATGGAAGTATACGACGATCGGCAAGTTGAAAACTCTTTCAAAAATAAAAGAGAGAAACAAACAAAAAAAATCTCCACGACTATAATGGGGCACTAAATTAAACTAATACTTTGAACTTTAAAATTTTAGAAAATGCTTTATTTGAAAATCTTCTCATTCGCCATTCGACTGAATTTGACAATTAATAAGAGTGCTTTGTCTCATGGGTCAGTTATTAAGTTTTGAACTAATTTTGTTAAGGTGGATATGACACTTGGAAGTGTAGCTTTCACTGTGATGAAGTTGCTTATTAAGTTTGATCTGTGACTTGACCAAGAGTTACCCCCAGTGAAGAGTGCTTTGCTGTCAGGTCCGCTTCCAGGACTATTATTGCATTCATGCCTATTTTTGCTGATAAGTCTTTTGTTCTTGTTGCCACAGAGTATGTGGTTAATTCTGCTGATAGAACTTCTTTTATTAGTTCTGCTGTTGTTGTTGCATCTACATGTGTCGTTCTGCCATCAAAGGAAATTGTGACAAAATTTTCTAATAAGTCAACGTTGAAGGATAAATTTGTTATTGTCAATGGAGAGTTGAGTCTTGCCTTACTGTCGTATGTGCTTGAGATTAAGATTTAAATTAAGGAAAAAAAGGGAGAATTTTTTGTAAAGTTAATAATTTAACTTTCAAATTTGACTTTATTAAATTAACTTAAATCAAATTATTGATGGGTTGTCGACCAAGTGAGTGATATGAGAAAAAAATTAAATGCAAATAACAAAAATAAAGTTCCTAATATAAAGAAAGTTTAATAAAATGATGGTTTCGTAATATTTATTTTGAAATAAATTAATTATCAATTTTTTTATGCATTGGATGGCCAAGGCTTCCAAAAAATGACTTCAATCAAGGTTTAAGGCAAGTTATATGAGGGATTTAATTAAAAAATTGTTCGATGTTATGACTATAAAGAGATTTGAATTTTTAAATTACATGAATTAATTTAATTTGCTAATATGTGGGATGGCTAAAGCTTTTCTTATTTCAATAATTTAAAATACTTTTGATTATTATAAATTCACTTAATTTAATCAAAAAAAATTTTTAGAAAGTATTTAAAATTTTTAAACTTAAGATGGTCGGGCATATAGTTTCTATAAATATAAAAAGTTTTTTAGGGAAGCTTTTAGATTTATTTAATATTAAAATTAAAATTAATTAGAAATTTGATACTATCGGTAATTTAATATTTTAATTAAAATTTCAAATCCCAAAATGATTAAAAATTTAGTTATATTATTAGGGATTTTAAATATTGAGTGAAATTATTAGGAGAAGAGACTGAAAGAATAATCTTGACGTTTCAATGAATAATTCATCACATGCTGAAATAAATAAATAAAAAACAACAATTGCATGGAAAATAACTAACAAAATAATGAATGAACTCAACTTGAGTTTAGAGGAATTAGTAAGCCTTAAATAAATTTACAAAATCAACTCATCATATTTTCATAAAAATGAAAGTAAAGCAAATTTAATTATGCAGAAATGATTAAAGATTAAAAAAATTTTGATAAAAATATTGTATCATTTATTTTCTTTTTTAATGAGATCATATTTATCTTATTTTACAATTCCTAAAAATCTGTCAACTGTCCAAGTCAGTGTTGATTTGATTTTTTTCTTAATATGACCGAATTAAATGAAAGGGGAACTAACATGAGAAGGAGTAGAAAACAACAATAACTTTTCTCCAATTACAAAGCATAACAATCTTGAGTGTAGTTAACACTGGCATGACTTCAACAATAAGAGGGGAACTAACATGAGAAGGAGTAGAAAACAATAGTAATGTGGTTCTTTTAAGTTTTTTAAATTTGTCGCCTATGCCCACAACTTGTGGAGTAGAACTACGCATGACTTCAACAATAAGAGGGGAACTAACATGAGGAGTAGAAAACAATAGCAATGTGGTTCTTTTAAGATTTTTAAAAATGTCGCCTATGCCCACAACTTGTGGAGTAGAACTACCATCCACATTGATCTTGAGAAAAAAATTATTTAATCATTTATTTCGAAGAAACATTTATCTAAAAAAAAAAGAAGGGAAATCGCCTATTTGAATATTTAATAAATTAAAATTTATCATAGGTTCCTCTAAAAAAATCATTAGCTATAAATAAGAATTAAAAATTTTTATTTTATTTGTGCTGTCAAAATATTTTAAGGCGGAATGGAGACGGTGAATAACTAGGAGGAAGATGAAGACTCAGGTAAGGGTGATAATGAGTACGCCCGCATCATTACATAATGTGCTCCTTGTCTCGATCTTCATTACTCGTACCCGCTCCGCATTCCATCGTCTTTTCTCCCTTTCCATTCAGCAGAATTACGAGTCATTTTGCCCTTTGATTCGATTCGCTAAGGCTTTTCTTTGCCTCGGCTTTTGTTGAGGCTGAGCAAAAGATTATGAGTTTGAAGGCTAAAGTCTGAGCCGTTGGCAGTAGAGGAAGGAGAGAGAGAGAGGAGTAGGAATCGGAGGCCCCTTTGCTTTTCACTCCCTTCATCTCCCCTTCGCTTTTATCCGATTAAGAGTAAGAATCCGATGATTCGCGGTTTTCTCGTTGACCGCTCTCCTCGTTGGGGGCTGTGAAGGATTCGGTTCTAGTTCTGCTGCTTCTCATTCTCCTTCTTCTTTTCTCTCTCTCTCTCTCCTTTGTTGGTCCCAAGGGAGAGCGTTTATTGGAAATGATTTTAGACTGCGTGTGGGAGAAAAGAATATGATGGCCATTGGTGAAGGAGGTGGAGAGGAGATGGAGAAGAATTTTGAGACGGAGCTCCGGCTTCAGCACAGTCCGGCGCAGAGGAGTAACAGCATAACGTTCAGAGCTCCGCAGGAGCCGTTCACGATTCGCGATTTTGAAATTGGAAAGATATATGGCGTTGGCTCCTACTCAAAGGTGCGTCCTTGTTCCTTCTTTAGCTTCACCAGGCTATCTTCCTTTGCTCTGCTGTTTTGCTGTTGTTGGAGGTCGGACATGTTTTTCCTGGCTATGCATGTCGCTAATGACGGGTAGGGGGTTGGGGGCGACATGGCTACGTTTCTGTCAATTCATGATTTTTTTTAATAATTTCCGGAAGTTGTAAGTTCAGGTGTGTTTCATTGTCAGTACGATACCGTTGCTTCTTCTTGCTTTTTCCTGAAAATTTTAATGAAAGCTTGGCACTATAAATTGTAAAGCGCCGGCGAGCCACAATTGTTAAGATGGCGATCTAGGTGCTTCAGAGAAATAATTCAATTAATTCCGTTGTAATATTCTACTGGAATTATTGCTAATTTTGGATTTTTCGTGTTACATGCACTGAAATGCTGGATGTATGGTAAGAGAAATTGATATGCTTGGTGAATAAGATTTTATGTACGGAGGCTTGATGGCAAGAACATTTTATACAATCAAGTGTTGTATGGTCGGAATACAATGAAAAGTGTGCTGCTATGACGTTAAAAAAGCAAAAGAGTTCTCAAATTATGGACAGATGCTGACAAAAATGTTAATCCATAAAACAAATATTAGGATACGAGCTTGCATTGATGAAACTAAATAGGTTGGAGAAAAATATAAGGAGATTGATAGTTTATGTTTAAACTTTGGTATTCAGATAAGAGTTGCACTTGAAATGATATGTGTAATTGTAGATAAGAGTTTGATAGATTATATTATAAAAGTTAATAAAATTTAATAAGGTGACCCATAGGTATTGCAAGAATGTAACATCCCTTTAAGTGAAAAGTTAAGCACTCAATGTTGATTATTAGTTTTGAATTTTAAGATGAGGAGTTGAAAAATAAAGAAATATGATGAAACATTATCATAGAATTAGATGGTGGCCTTTAGAGGACAAATAAAATTATTTTTATGAGTAAATTTCAAGATTTTAAAATTTTGGTTGTTCATAAACAAACTAATTTTTTGTGAGATAAAATAACAAACTCCATTAAACATGTGACAAAAGAGATACTTGAAGGATAAAAAAAGTTTTTATAATTCAAAATAGTTGGTGGTGGAATAATAACATGCAAGAAATAATAAAATATAAGAAATTGTGTTATAAACATTTGTTTAAATATAAAGACTTAGATAACTGAGAACAATATAAGGTGATCCATAGGGAGTCTAAGAGAATAATTTGTGATGCTATGAATTTTGTTTTTAGTGAACTTTATAAAAAATTAGATACTAAAGTGAGTGAAAAATATATGTATAAATTAGTCAAACATAGAGAAAAATTAAGTAAATATTGTTTTCAAGTAAAATTTATCAAAAATAAAAATGAATTGCTTTTCTTCTAGAAAGAAATTCATCATAGTTGGGCGAGATATTTTGATAAAATTTTCAGTGAAACTTTAAAAATATGATCGACCTTAATGATTTTAATATCATTAATATTAATTAAACTTATTATTTTTACCGTCTCATTAGTAAAAAGAAAGTTGAATAGACTTTAATGAAAATTAAGGGTAAAAACTCTATAGGACATGATGATATTCCAATTGATGTGTGAAACTATTTAAGAGATTTGAGAGTTTCTTGAATTACTAAACTCTTTAATATTATTTTAAAAATTAAAAAGATGCTGGAGGAGTGGAGAAAGAGTATCTTGGTCCCAATTTTTAAGAATAAAAGGGATGTAGAAGAGTATGCAAATTAAAGAGGAATTAAGTTAATATGTTATACATTAAAATCATGGGAGAGAATAATTGAACATATGTTAAGACGTTATATAAAGATTTCTCATAACCTATTTGAATTTATGCTGGGCAAGTCTAGTATGAAAGCTATACATTTATTGAGAGGTTTGATGGAGAAGTGTAGAGAGACTTAGGCCGATCTATATATGATTTTTATTGATTTAGAAAAGGTTTATGATAAGGCTCTAAGAGAAGTTCTTTGGAGAGTTTTAGAAAAGAAGTGTCGATATGGCTTATATTCAAGTCATTAAAGTTATATATAGTAGAGCTATTACTTGTGTTCAAACAGTAGGAGGATTAACAAAGTATTTTCCTATTTCAGTTGTATTATATCAGGGACCGACTTGAAGCCCATATCTTTTTGCTTAAGTTATAGATGCTTATGTTGGACTTTAATAGAAGGATGTACCTTTGTGTATGTTCTTAGCTGATTATATTCTTCTTGTGGATAAGACTAGAGAAAGAGTTTAGGTAAAACCTTAATTATGGAGGTCTACATTGGAGTTTAAAGGCCATTGGAGTTTAAAGGCCTTTGACATACGCCGTCTGGATTTTAAAGATCTTAAACTGAATACATGGAATGTAATTTTAATATTAGATCTAGTGGTAGAGTTGTAACTATGGGTGATCAAATCATTAAAAGGTATGAACGCTTTGGGTCTATTGTTCAAATTGTTCAAATTGATGGTGATATAGATGAGAATGTTATTAGTAGAATTCAAGTTGGATGGTTGAAGTGGACAAATGCATTGGGCCTATTTTGTGATAGAAAAATTACCTTTTAGGCTTAAAGGAAAATTTAATAAGATGGTGGTGAGACCTTTAATGCTTTATGGTGCAGAATGTTGGCTTTTAAAAGAGAAGCATAGAATTAAGTTAAGTGTTGCTGAGATGAGAATGCTTAGGTGGATGAGTGACTTGACACTTAGAGACAAAATGCAAAATGAATGTATCCATGAACGGGTTGATGTAGCTCAAGCAACATATAAGATTAGAGAGAATGATCTTAGATGGTTTGGTCAAATTAAACGTCAACCATTTGATGATCCAGTTACGAGAGTAGATGTTTTAGATTCAACTTATGTTAAAGAAAGTCATAAGTAGACCTAAAAAGACTTAGACCTAAAAAGACTGACTGGGGCATGTTGTATAAAAATGATCTTAATTTATTAGAATTAAATGAAAAATATGACTCTCAATGGGACACAATGGAGAAAAAAAGATTCGTGTACCCGAACCCACTTAGTGGGATAAATTCCTTTTCTTGTTGTTCTTGTATTCAATTTATCTGAAAGAAACTTATTTTGAAGAGTTTTAATGTGATGTCCGTGGTAGTGGTGAGGGGGAATTAGTACATGAACATATCACAAAATATTAGTAGATGCATATTGTACACTTGTCAAAGGATTTGTTGGCTTCTAGAAACACCAACTACTTTGGTGGTGGAGAATAAAGTTAGCCTGACCATGTGGAGATGGTGTTGACAATGGCATAGAAGAACATGGAACATCCTTAAGCTCAACACCTGACATCTTTTGCACAAAAACAATATTATCAAATGAATCAATTTCAACGTCATGCATTTTCTCATTCTTTATCGTAGTCAATATGTAGAGTCTATGATAACAGAATTAGTAGGAAAAATAGTGGAACACACATAAACAGACTTATATCAATATGAAGTACAACATGACTCGAATGAAAATAACAACACAAAAGACACAAGCAAACACTTCTAAATGTATTTCAATGGATGGTGGAGATCAACAAGGTGGGTCAGGATGGCTAGCCGAGGTGGTGACGACCATAGAGTGCCGGTGCCAGCGAGGGAAAGACGCGGAACTGTAGGGGCAGCAAGTGGGAAGGATCGTAGATGATCGACATCTTTAGTGGGTTGGTTGGGCCAAGTTTGAACGGAGTCAAGACGGAGGGAGGGTTCGATAGCTGAGAATTGGGGAGGAGAAGGTTTGGAGAAGGTAAGAAGGGAATGATACAATCACCACCTCGGAGAAAGATACAGTCAAAACACCTCCATCTCTTTGGATACAACTCACAGAGGGGGAAATGAACTGCACACAGGAGAACTGAAGACAACCTGAATTGACTCATACATTATAGACCTAAAAGAAACTTCTACACAAAAGTTCTAGAAAAACCTTTCGTAGGTGTAGCAGCACCCCTTCCCCAGATCGCGAATTATCACGTTCCTCCTTTATTCTTCGTGAGGGATCGCTATTCGTCTCACTCTACCTGTTCCAGCGACACATTGCGGAGCCTTTAACCCCCACAAGAGTTCTCACGAAGGATTGCAGGGCTTTTGCTCCGCAGGAATGGAGCGCCTGCATCGGGCGCTAAACGACACCCATGTAAGGGCACTAAACAGCGCCCGTGTAAGGGCGCAAACAACAACCGCGTCAGTCCCTCGGGGATGGAGCGTCAACCTCGTTCGTCGAAGCTTATGGTTCTCTCCGACTGTTCTCAGATCCCATTGGCGACTATATTGACTATGAAAGTATCCGAGAAGCTTTTCTCACTTGTGAGCATATACCCATATCGATCTGTCTTTTTAAGGTTGTGCACTGCATCTATACTGGCGAATCTTCTCAAAGTAACCTATGATCGATTCAATCAAGCTTATAGTTAGAATACCCTTTTTGCACGACAGTGGTGTTGTTGATACGGTGTCAAACTGACAAACCTTAGCCTTATCTGTCCTTGGGGGTGGGTGTCACTGTCCTCCCGTTTGGTGTCATCACTAAAACTGGTTCCATTGTCACCGCTCTGTTGAAAAGGGATCTTGTGATCTCGGAATTCCTCGAAGGAAGGAGGGTGATGCGTTTCCCGTTCTTGGTGCAGGAATACGTGTTTTATATCCGTCGTGCTAAGTCCTTCGTTCATATTGTCACGGTTGTTCCAACAAGGGGTGATAGACATTCATAGGACCACGTCGCACCAAAACCTATTCTTGCAATTGGCCTTCGATCGAAAATTCTACCAAGCATCTACAGTCGATGCTGACCCGATTCTCCTTCTTCAGCCACATCAGTGAATATGGCTAGGAATGTTTCTGTGTTGCGAGTCCTAATTTCTTTACCATCTATATCGATGCCACGTTCTTGTTGCTTCTGTCATTGATGATTAGACTGCATACTTTTCCGTTCACTATGCAACGGGTGTAGAATATGTTGTGGCGAAACCACTGCGAATCCG